TTTGTGTGTATATATATATATATATATATATATATATAAAAATGTAACTTTATTTTTTCCCCTCGGTACTGATATTCAACTAATGAATAATTAATAATTCAGATAGTTTACATAAAATGAAAATTATCTGGAATATTAGAGTTATGTATATTTTTTATAAGTTTCAAATCAACTGTTCATATTTCAACTATCAGTTTGCAAATAATGTATTTTGTACTATTGCAGATATATTTTCATATATTATCATTACAAAGAGAAATATACTGGGAACTTGGAAACATTACATGTGCTGCCTATGCTTTGGATGATATTGATACCATTAACAGTCAAACTGGAGAAATTAATAAACTCTCCGTTCTTAATCTTGTTGTGTATGGGGTGAGATAATACTTTATGCCATCTTGTATATACTTTCTTTTCATTTAAATAATTATATTTAGTTGATAGATAGACAAAATCTTCCGTAATAATCCCGTCCGCAGCATTTCAAGTTTCTAAGATTTGCATTTGACTGTAGGCACGTACCCCACGACGTGCAAGGAAACATGGGAGGCTCGACCAGTCCATTATTTTTTATATTACAACATTAAGATAGTTGATGAGTACCATATATTTTCTTTGCTTGCAGGTAAAATCAAGCTAAATCACACGTAGCATCTTTCTCGTTCAGAAGCAACTTTTTTTTAAAGTTCTTTTCTTCTGAACCATCTGTCATGAACATATAATTAACAATAACATAATTGACATAATTAACACAATTAACATAAGTAACACAATTAACATAATTAGCTTAATTAACATAATTAGCATAATTAACAAAATTAATATAATTAACATAATCAACATATTGCATATAATTAACATATAATTGGCATTAACATATAATCTGCATAGGAAAAAAACTAATTTTGTTAAACGTTTTATTATGCTTCTTAGATATTAACATTCAACGTACCATAACCAGTTATAAGATCGGTTATCGGTTGTATTGTATTGTATTGTATTGTAAAATGTTAGTATGTTTAGTGTTCATAACTCTTTAGATTCCATAATTAATAACTCTTTAATAACTCTTATTAATAACTCTTTAGCCAAATAAACTTCCAGTGGGGAGGCTTGACCCATTTAGTACATTGAGCAATCATTGATAAAAAGGTAGCTAATTTAAGTGAAAATAATTTTTAGAAAATAGATGACAAACATTACTACTACAACTACTTAAATTTTTATTTGACCATTTTTTTCCAAGAAATTTCTGTGTAATAGTATTATATTCAAAAAAATATTTTTTTTTAAAGTCAGAGACTCTTAACCGAAAACTTGTTTCAAATTCCTATTAATTTGAATTCAATTTTAGGAAAAAATAGATCATTTGGACATGCTAAGTGGTGTCCTAGCTGATCTTCTCAACGCTAAGTGGAACAAATTTGTTAAGTTCAGGTAAGTTCACAACATATTTCACAATATTTTTTTTAAAATAAAGATAAAAACTCAACTGGCTAACGCATTATATTTGACGAATTTCATTCTTTTTTCTTTTTTTTCCAGATTCTTTCGCCAATTCTTAACCTTCTTCTTATATTTTGCAATTTCCTTAAGCTGTTTTGTTATGAGACCTGGACCATCAATTCCAAAGTCGTACAAACACCATAATCACTCACATTTTATGCATTCAACATCAACTACTATGTCACCAATCAATATTAATTTAACATCTGACGTTGATCAATGTTATTTATTGAACGCTGATAAACCATCTGATTATGTAAGTAAACTTTTTAAATCATTTTTAAAAATGCATTAGATTATTCTAAGAATGAAGCGTTTTTGAGTTACAAATAATAACAGTATTGAATTAAAGAGAATTAGATGTTATCACTTAATACCGTACTTTTACAATTTTCATCCAAAAAATTTATGAATAGAATTACAAAGGATGAATATATTAATTTACTTTCGAATTACAGAAAATTACAATGAATTACAGAGAATGACAATATTGAATTACAGAGATTTACAATATTGAATTACAGAGATTTACAATGTTGAATTACAGAGATTTAATATGTTGAATTACAGAGATTTAATATGTTGAATTACAGGGAATTGCAATATTGAACTATAGAGATTTATAATGTGGAATTACAAAGATTTGCAATGTTGAATAACAGAGATTTACAATGTTGAATAACAGAGATTTACAATGTTGAATTACAGAAAATTTCAATATTTTCATTTTTTAAAGATATTTCTCCATACATTTTTCACTTAAAAAATTTATTAATCGTTTTTTTCTAAGAAACACAACTTTGACGGATTCTGCGCAAAACCCTTCTTGAATTTATAGGTATTTTAGCTGATATAATATTGCTGTTTTACTTTTAACTACATTTATTAACTACTGTTTACTAATAAATTAATATGAAACTTAATAGAAAATAATTACAAAATTCAAAATTTAATCGAATTTTTAATAAAAGTGTAACAACACTTTGAAAAAAGAATAATTTAATTGTTTGTTAAGGATATAAACTAGAGGTATACCTTTTTTTCCAAATTTTCAATTTTACATTATATTTTTAATTTCGCCTCGAGACAGAAAAAATTGTGCCGAAAGAAAATGGAGTTCTATTTTTATATAAGTATTTTCTAGATAAATATGAGTAATTTCGAAAAGAAAAATGACACCCATATTTTTATGCGAAACTGATTTCAAATGAAATTCCACGTTACAAAAAATTTTAAAAAAATTGCAAAGTATCCCCCTAATGTTAGATATATATATATTCTTTTGAATTCGCGTCTTTGGGACTAGGTAAGAACTTTTAAAAAAAAATTCTTTAAGCATTTCTAAACTTAAATGGAATTTTAGAAATACAATGAACCCATATTTTAATATAAAACTAGTTTTAATAAATTTGGCATTCTAAAAAAATGTATTTATTCGAATATTTTACTCTAAAAACAAATTTTAAAAATTTCATACTTTTTTTAGATATATTTGAATATTTTTGGAAAATTTGAAGCAAATACTTTAATATGAAACGAGTTTTTTGCAATGTAAAATTTTATGAAAAAACTCGTAAAGTTACGTTTTCCTGATAGAAGTGCCTTATATACTTTGCACTCAGCGTGCTTTGGACTAGATAAGATATTTTTAAAATGTTTATAATACTATTTTTAGATGTATATGAGTATTTTCGGATAATGTTACGCTCATATCTTAATATAAAATCAGTTTCAAAGTAATTCAGCGTTTCAGAAATTAAAAATCCACATATTATATACCCTAGCGTCGACATATTATATATAGCGTCGACTTATATACTTTCGACTTATCATGTTTTGATCTAAATAAGATTTTTTTTTTTAATTTTCTGTAAGTATTTTTAGATGCATATATAGGCCTTTTTTTTTATAACCGCTGTTGAGCAACAGACCTAATTTTTTGGGGTTAACAACAACTAATGTTCAACTCAGTCTTGTAATTTTGAATCCTATCCAGAGAACAAAGGAACTTCTGGATCAACTATTGGGAGAAGTTTGCTTTCGTGGAGAACTTTTTGATGGAACTAACCCGCATTCGCGTTACATGGAGGTGAAAACAACGAAAACCTCCATGTAAAGCAATATAAAAATATTAGGAAAACGTTTTCCTAAATTGCGTCATCTATATTTTAATATGAATCCAGTTTTAAAATAATACAAAGAATTATAATAAATTCGAAAATTCGCAAACTGTCCACGGGCCCCTTAAGCTATAGACTTATATTTCCTCCTAATAAAAGTTTTTTTTAAGAATTTTCTTATTCCGCTTAGTCATTGATTGGATGATCTCTGATTTGATGCTTTGCTCCCTCTCCGTAAGATACCGCTTCATTATCAGTATCACATGTATACTGTACACAAAAAATCAACATCATATTGCTTTTTTTTAATTTAATGATCTGATTTGCACATATATTGATTCAGTTTTAATTGCTTAAGGTGCTAATCAAAAATATAAAAAATATTATTTAGACAATATTTTAAGTAACAAAATCAGACATATAAGTCCCCTTTTTCTGAATAAATATACTGTTTTTAATTTTTAATTTATCTATTTTTTCAGTTATTTTTTTTGTTGGCTCTCAAAAATCGTAGGGGTGTTAGCCACAAATTGAAAAAATTATCCTAGTATAGTTTGTCTAAAGTAAAAACTCCCCCCGCTTCACAGTCTGAGCCGTCTTTTGCTTATGGAAACAAGAACGTTGTTCTGAATACACTATTTGTACCAAATTTATTGGTGGAGCTTATTGTTTAATAAACAAAAAAATTAGTATTTTAAGGCTCAAACTTTTCAATCCAAACTTGTCGAAAATAAGTATTTCAAGAAACGATGTGTTTTCGTGTCTGATTTCGTAACATAAAATATCGTTAGTACAAGTTGATTAAAATATTTCATCTTAGTCTTTTTCAACAATAAAAATTGCCTACTAATAGGTGAAAACCAAATCACTTGATCAAAGGTTATTAAGATGTTCTGTTTTTTGCGCACAGTAAACATACCTGTCATGTTCATTAAATCAAATTTTAAATGTATGTTAAGTTTGGCCAATGCAAACAGCTTTGATAAATTCCACAACTGTTTTGATCAGTATCAATTTAATAATTTATTTAGATCAATTTTAAATTATTTAAGATAAATTTATTTTAATAACTTTTTTAAGCACAAGTCTAATTACTTGACATTAAGTGATGATAAAACTTTCTGTTTTTTTGCAGGTTCGATTTGTATTGGAATTTTTAACTCTTGCAGGAGCCATGCTTTATTTATTTGATGCTTTCAGAGAACTTAGATTTTTAGGCTATCAAACATTTACGCAAAATATGGTGAATATTTATTACATTTAGTAATTCTTGCTATTAATTAGACAACAATAATATAGACATTTCATTTTACCATCTGTTTTCTTAAATAACTTCCCTGCAGCAATGTTGAAAAGGCCGTAACCCATGCCCAGTTTTGAGAAATCTTGACCGAATAAGGACTAAAGGGACCATTATCTTTTAATATATAGCCTAGATAGGCCTAAAATAGAATTGTTCGATTCGTTATATAGATTGAATTTCATTATATATAGATTCAGCACTGTCGTGGGGCAAACCAGTTCGACAACCCAAAATTTGCATACACAAAACACTTCTCACTTTTTTTCGCTCATAATTTTCACATTTTCCTACATTTAATTTTGTGGTTGCTACCGCTGTTAATATCATTCGTCCTCGGCAATTGTCTTCATCTCGGCATTGCATACACAAAACACTTCTCACTTTTTTTCTCTCATAATTTTCAAATTTTCCTACATTTAATTTTGTGGTTGCTATCGCTGTTAATATCATTCGTCCTCAGCAATTGTCTTCAATGTATTAAGGGGGGACCCCACCCTGAGATAGTAAAATATTAACGATTTTCTTGAATTTTTGTTAAGTAATAGAGACAATGCAGAGACTCCTTGTTTTTTTATGTTATTTAGCTACAATTTAAGTCTCTTTCAAAATTTTTCTTTTACAAAATAATAAAAAATAAGTTGGTGGCAGCTCCGTGTGTGGCTGGTCAACAAAAAGTAGCACCTCACTAGCCTCATGGATTTAGAAGACCTGAAACATAGGAAAACGATGTAGATTTTCTGAAACATAAAGACACTATCTAAAAAGCAGCATAGAAGTTTTTTGATTTTCGCAAAATAACCAAAATGGCGCAACTTAAAAAAAAGTTAAGTTTTTCGTTAAAAAAATATTCATTAAAATACTAATATAAAATCGAAATATAAAAATGTCAAAAAAATTCTATGCTAAGCTATGCTAATAATTCTATTATATTATATTCTATTATAAAGAATATATTTTTAAGTAATTTAAAATAAAGAACAGCTTATTTTGTTGTATAGATCATGAAAAAAAGTTAGGCCAGGTCAAAAAACAGCGCTTCGAAAAAAACGCGTTTAAAGTTTTGACTTATGGTAGGGGAAAACGTTTAATTGCATATATATAATTGTCGATAAATGAAATGCCTACAATAAGTTTCTATATACAGTCAACAGAATGGATGAGACACAAAAAAATTGTCGTCCTTCCTAATCCGGCCGAACGGGCCATTCTACCTGCTTAGCGACGACTCTCTATTTTCCGGTATAACCTCTAAACGAAGTTAGGTACCGAGAAATCGCTTTAGACAGACATTAGGAAGGGTACTAAGATTCGAAAAATGCAATAAATTTTTTTTCTAATTTTTGAAATATTCAGGGTGGGGTCCCCCCTTAAGTATTTGCACAGATCCGTAAAATACCACATCTTGTCTTGGAAGTCTTAATATTTTATTTTTATCACAAATCTGTTGCATAATTAATGTACATAAGTTTAGATATTTTTTTTACGCACGGGGCAAAATATCTGGTAGTCATATGCATACAATAAATTATCAACAGTTTTAATATTCCTATGTACTTTTTTTCATGCAAATATGTATAAATTTTAATAACAACAATTATTTTCTCTTGCTGATTTACGCTACTTTTTAATCTGTTCTACAGATGACAGTTCCTTCTAGAGTTCTGTTTATGTGCTCTTGTAGTATGTTAATGATAATGATTCCTCTAAGGATGGCTTGTTCACACCAAGGGGAAGATTTAAGCGCTGTGTTTGTTATGTTAACTACAGCTCCATATTTTCTTTTCTTTTGCAGGTAAATATCATTAATTTCTCTCATTTTTTATTTTAGTGCGGTAAATATCTATAAACTACTGTTACAGGAATGCAGAAAAATGATAAGGGTATTTGTCTTTACATAAAATTTGATGAAGACATTTTCTCAGGGGAGAAAATTAGTGATAATATTAATTAAAGTTCTTCAAAATGCGAGTGTAAAGGTTTATTTATTTATTCATTTTCAGCAGAAAGGAACAAGTTTTTATACAAATATTTGATCTTACCAAATTCGAGTGTTAGGATTTCAAATCTGAAATTAGTTTTGCTCCAAAAGGTACAGATTTTTTTATTGGCAATTTTAATCCATTTTTTGGTCGAAACATGCAATTTTAAAAACGTTATATATAACAAGGGGTAGCGTAAGTGTTGCGACAAACTTCTAGGAGAGTTAGTGTACATCATCAGGATTAGAATTTCTCACAATGCCCGGAAACATCGTTGTACGCAGCTAGGAGAGCTTTCCCAATATGATGCGTTCAGAAGCAGAAAAAGAAACAGTTCATAGTAGGGTAGTATGAGGATATTTCCGGGCATGGGTTCCCGTACAATTTTAATCCTGATGATGCGCCCTAACTCCCCTAAAAGTTTGACACAAGATTTATGTGACCACCTATTACATGTACCGTTTTTAAATTCGTACATTTCGACAAAAAATAGACTAAAAATGTCGTTTAAAAAAAAACTGTTGCTTGAAGAGAGAAGCCGATTGCAGATTTGAACTCAGCTATCCGAAAGTATCTAAAATCTGTAGAAAAATCTCATGCGGCAGAAAATAAAATTGTTCCCTAGTGTTGTTATTATTATTTAATAAGTCGGAAAAATGTTTCAACTTGCTGAGATTAGAAATTTTGAGGTAAATTTCGATAATTATACTAAAGCTACTGAACCAACAACCTTTTGACAAAAAATGTACGTTTTAAATTTTTAAATAAATAAAAATTGGACTTGATTTAATTTTTTAAATATTAAATACACTTTGAGCCTAAAATAAAAATAGTGAGTTATTTTATCATCATCATCACAACAGTCCATGCAGTTCTCCTTGTCGCCAGATATTGCCAGCTCAATACTCTGATTGTTTTGAAAGCCACGTTAATCGAGTCTATCCATCTAAGTTCTGGATTCTGTAGTTTCTTAATTTTGAATGTAAGTATTTTTTGTTTTGCAATACTTTCCAATTACCAAATGAAAAAAAAAATTAAACTAGCGTTAAATTAAAAAGGCAACTTTCCCGCTCAGTTTATGAAACTACTGATTCAACATAGAAGAAGAAGTAGCAGGCATTATTTTTAATTATTTAAAATTAGCAAACAAAATGTGTTTAAAATACCATTTGAAAGAAAGTTATACTTCAGCAAAATAAGGTATACTTAAATCGATTTAAGCTCGGGAATCAATATGGTATCGGGGATATAATCGAATTAAGCATAGAGCAACAAGATATTGTTGTTTTGATATTAGTTTCTATACATTATCTTAAACGACAGCGTTCTAATATAATAAAAGGTAGCCTCAATTTATCTATAAATTGAGGACGCTTATTCGAATACCCTTATATTTATAGTATACTTCAGTAACTCAAGGTATACGTAAATCAAGGTTTACTTAAATCAATTTAAATTCGGGTATCAATAGTGCAAAGGGGGTACCTTGGCGAGCAAAGAACAAGAACTTGGCGAACAATCGATTTAAGTTAGAAACAACAAAAAATCGTTGTTTTGATATAAATTTCCTTGTATCATCATAAATAGCAGAGTTCTAATAAAATGAAAGGTAGCCTCAAGGCTAGCTATAAATTGAGGAGGCTTATTCAAATACCCTTATTTTTGTAGTATACTTTAGTAAATCAATGGATACTTTAGTAAATCAAGGTGTATACCTTAGTAAATCAGAAGAGGATACTAATCAATGGATACTTTAGTAAATCAAGATATGCCTTGATAAATTAAGGTATACTTTAGTAAATAAAGGTATACTTAAATAAATATAAGCTCCGGTATCAATAGGGTATCGGGAATATAATCGATTTGAGTTAAGAGCAACATTGTATCATTGTTTTGATATTAAATTCCGTATTGTATCGTAAATATCAACGTTCTAATCCAGTGTTTCCCAAACTTATGACTTTTGTGTACCCTTTCTAAATTTTTCGTAACCCTGCGATCCACTAATAAAAAAATTAATGTATTAATTACACACAAAAGTTAAAAATCACAACTGTCTGTTGACACCACTAATTATGAACTGTTAACTCTGCAAAAAATAGCCAATAGAAAAATACGTAATTGTAAATTGTCATGGCTAGCTTTGTTTTTAAATAAAAATTTTTGAAATTTTCGTTTGTGGCAAGATACTTCGCATAAGAACGCGTACCCCCGCTAAACTGTTCCCGTACCCCTGAGGGTACGCGCACCACTTTTTGGGAAACACTGTTCTAATCTAATAAAAAGTAGCCCCAAGTTTAGCTATAAATTGAAGGCGTTTATCCAAGTACCCTTATTCTAAACTAATGAATATTTCATTTTGAATATTCTTTTTGCGTTTATGTAATTATTCCAGTTTAAATTTTCATATTAAATTTAATTTAATACCATAACTATAAATAAGTTTTATGGCCTAATGACAGTTATTTATTGAAATTTTTATTTAAATAATTTATAATTATTGCCTAGTTAAATTATTGCATACTAAAGAAGAATTTACGCAGAAAAATTTTTTTATTTAAGGATTAGTTAGAATTCATAATGAGACATAATGCAAAGAAGCTTTGAAATAATAAATTTTGAATATTATTTTTTGAATTTGTGGTCTTAAAAGAGAATCGTATTATGACTTATACATAATTCTGCCTACTTTTTTTATTACCTTTGATGCAATTTTGTCGGTAAAACTGCGAAGCCAAATTAAATCTGCTGCGCCTGCGGTCGTTCTGGGCTAGTTCTGCTTATAATTTTAAAACAAATTATTTTATGATACCGCAAAAAGTTAAATATATGTAATTAATAGCTTTCTTAATAGTTATTATGTATATATTTAATAGTATGTGGTAAACTAAAATATTTTTTATTAAAAGTTCAGTAATGACTTTTCGATAGTTAAACAATAAAAGTTTATCATATCAACTAATTTATAATATCTAAAATTGTAGACAAATTAAAGTTTAACTTTAAAAATTTTTGCCCTCTAACTTAACTTTAATAACTGCTTTTTAACTTAAAAAAATTATTAAAAGCTAATTTTTAATCTTCTTTAAATTAAGTTTCAGTTATACTTAATTAATTTTCAATACTTTAAAGTAGAACAAAATGAAGTAATAAAATTCTATTGATAGTGCAGTTAATTTCTAATTAATTGAACCATTAGATGTAATATTAATTGTTAGTTGCTAATTTTCGCCTTTTAAAACTTTCAAACCTGCCAATGAATCATATAAATACAAATACTCTCCTCAGATAAGTTTTTTGAACTTTTCAATGGTTTTTCAGATCAGTAAGAAGGTTCTGCTTATATATACGTTGAAATAACTTATCAATAATAATAAGTTAAGAAAGTATAGCAGTAAATTTAAAATATTAAATTGAAACATCATTATTAAAATAAGTGAATGCTTGGATCTTTTTAACAGATGTTAAAATATAAAGTAATGCATCCGGAAGGTAATATTCATGAAACTAACTTGTTACCAAAAATTGAATTAAAATAGTTTTTCTCCGCTTTCCCATTTTTCCATTGTGATGAAATATATTTATGTAAGTTACATTGCAACAAAAAATGTTAAACGCGTGAAAAATTTAGCCAGACAAATTCTTATTTTTCCAAACTAAATAACTAGATGGCAGCACTACAATTCAATCATAGTACAAACGTTAGTCCCATTTTCTCTGATCAGAAAATAAAATTTGAAGAGAAAATATCCGTATGAAATTAGTCGAAAAAAATATAAACATAATTATTTGGTTAATAAATAAATTTAAAATTTTAAAATTAAATAAATTTTCAATGCTAATAACTGATTTTTTTAAACTATTAATGTGTTTGCAATACTTCTTATGACTTAAAATATCTAAAACCTTTGTAAATCAAAATTATGTATTTCTTTGAAAAGACTATTTTTTCATGGCAATGAAATATTTTCATGTGTTTCAAATGAAGGCTTTTATTTTTATGGGTAAAAATTTCATGTATTCCAAAAATCTAAAATTAAGTTATCCCACAATTAAAAAAAATATCAAATAATTTGTGAAGTTGTTTAAACACCGGTACATTCAGTAACATTTGTGCGGGGAAAAAAAATCCACTGAAATTTTACTCATCTGAGTATTTTCTATTGGATCATATTGTAATTTTACTGTTATATTCATAATCATAAAATGTTAAATCAAATGAATATTTAAACGTTTGTAAAAATATCGAAAAATTAAGGCTTACGACCCATAATGACTACTTAAATGATAAAGAAGTTATAACATAAAACTTATAAATCATATAAATCTTGTTAAATTTAAGTTATAACCAATTTAAAAAATTCTATTGTCACTTACTGATGCATTTTTAATCTATGAAAGAGAATTCAATGAAAATTTACTAATTTTAGATTTTTTTTCCCTTTCTTTTATGATTAGTTTATTTTAAAAAATTAACTAATTGGTGGTTAATTTTTTTATGATAAAGGCCTGAAATAAACATTTGAAAAACTAGACATTACTCTAAATTTTCTTTTGCAATATTAAATAATTAATCCGAATCTCATTTAGGTTACTCTTGAACTCTTATATTTTTTTAACTTTTGAAAAATCTTTATTCACAAGTTATTCCTTTTAAATCAAAATAAACATAACAGCAGTTTGAGAAACGGACTCTATCTTAAAGATCTTTCTCAATTTTCTTAGGGAGGCATTTTGAGCTATGTCCATTTTTTCAAACACACACTTCAAATTAAGTCCCTTTTTAAAACATGCTCTTCAAATTAAGTTCTTT